TGTGCTACAAAATGAGCTCAAGGCCAGCATGAATTACATAGTGAGGCCCTGTCTCAAAAAGACCAAAAAAACAAAAAAAAGCAAAGAAATTCCTTACCCATTAGCACTCCATTCCCCATTCTTCCCTTCTCACAACCACTTACAGTCACTAGTGTACATCTTAATGGATTTGCATATTCTACACCTCTCATACAAATTAGGAGTTAAATCATCCCTTTTTAAAATGAAATCGCTGGGGATTTAGCTCAGCGGCATAAGCGCCTGCCTTGCAAGCAGGCAGTCGTGAGTTCGATCCCTGGTACTGATAAAAAATAGAAAAAAAATGTAAAATGAAATCATATTTCATTGTACAGATATGTCCCATTTTGTTTATTCCATTATTGCACCACTGGGTTGTATCCTCTTTGGGTATTATAAAGTATCATAGCATGCTATGAACTTTTTTTTTTTGGTATTTTCAGTTCTCCTGGGTATAATCTAGGAGGGAAATTTCTGAGTCACAGAGCAACTATATTTAGTATTTTACAAGTTTGTGCAACCACTATCTATCATGTCCCATTGCCCCTGTCCCCTTTTTGAGATGGGCTCACTATGTAGCTGGCCGCCAATTTATAATCCTTCTTAGCTCCTGAGTGCTGGGATTACAGGCATGTGTTACACACTATACCACTTACCTTTTGGAGTTGGCTTTGGACATGCTAGGCAGGCACTCTACCACTAAGCTGTATCCCCAGCCAGCATTTAATTTGAAATGCTAGATTTTCCAAAGTGGTTGCATCTAGGCTACCAGGATTAAGACAGTGTGAAACTAATCAGTGGACTGATTTAGTAGTCATTCACCCTTAATGCTAGCAATGTACCATGAGTCAATCAATTACTCTAGATTCGGCCCCCTCTGAAAACGCCCTACCTATGACTGCATGAGGCTTTGCAGGGACATGACACAAGCCATAACAAACGTAAATAAATGTACAAAAAATCTTCAACTTGTCATTTGAGAGATGCAAATTAAAACGATGCTATGATTCCATCTCTAGAAAGAGTGGCTGTCATCAATATATCAATAACAAATATTGGTAAAAAAGAAATCCTTCTCCACTAATGTATACTGGTACTGGTGGTAATGTATACTGGTACAACCGCTATAGAAATCAGTGTAGAGGCTGCTTAAAAAACTAGGATTGAGGGCCTAGGGATTTAGCTCAGTGGCATAAGCGCCTGCCTTGCAAGCAGGCAGTCGTGAGTTTGATCCCTGGTACCAATAAAAAAGAAAAAGACAAAAAAAAAAAAAAAAAACTAGGATTGGGGGGTGGGGAGTTAGCTCAGTGGTATAAACATCTGCCTGGCAAGCGTAAGGTTGTGAGTTTGATCTCTGTTACCAGAAAAAACAAAACAAAAAACTAGGACTAGAGCTCCCATTTCACACAGCTATTCCCTTCTGGATGTCTTCCCAAATTAAAAACACTGTAATAGTGATGTATGTGCACCAACTTTATAGCAGCACAATTTGCAATAGCCAAATCTTGGAAACAGCCCAATTGCCCATCAACTGCTGAATGGTTAAAAAAAGATGTACTTTGATACAATGGAATACTATTCAGCCATAAAGGATAAACTGATAAAGTGAAGACTTTTATAAGTTGAGGGGTGCAAATTGAAACCATACTCATAAGTGAAATAAATCAGACACGTAAACATTATGTGGTCTCACTAGTAGGAAGCTGAAAAAAACATGTATATGTGTGTACATACAGGTATTTATAGAAATATAAAAAGATAGTTAAGATAGTATACTACTGACTTAGTTAATTGAAGAGAAAGATTAACGCTGGTACTGTTCAATCAGCTGAATGCAGATGTCTTATGCTCTAGGTGAATGATTTGGGCATTGCACTGCACAATGTATGTACCACTGTTGTCCCAACTGACATGTTTTGAAAATTTTTTTTCTCTTAGAAATAAAATGGATTTGAAAAAAAAAATAAGTGAATAAAAAAATCACCAAACTAGAAAAAAAAAATAAACCAATTACAAATGATACAGGGGCTTTGGGGGGACTGTTGTTGACGGCATGCAGACTGGTGCAACCACTGTGGAAATCAGTGTGAAGATTTCTTAAATAACTAAAACTAGAGTTCCCATTCGACCCAGCTATCCCTTCCTTTGTATCTCCCTGAAAGAATTAAAAGCACCACACTACAACAATACATGTTTACCACAGCACACTCATACTTTTTTGGCACGTATTTATAGCAGCACATTGTGTAATAGCTAAATCTTGGAAATAACCCAAATGCCCATCAACAGATGAGTGGGCAAAGAAGTGATGTTTTTATACAATTGAATACTACTTTGCCTTAAAAGGATAAGCTTCAGACATTTCTAGCTAAATGGACCTGAGACCAGCCTTAAGTGAAATTTAAATACTACATTCTCTGGTGTGAAACCTAAAAGTGTACATAAGGACCAAATGTGCAACTGGTATTGGGAATATAGGAAGAAAACGTTTAAATGAGAAGAGGAATTAAGGGGAAGTAGAGGGCAAAAGAGACAAGAAAAAAATGGAAACAAACTTTTGTAAATGAGGGAAAAGGGGTAAAAAGAATCAAGGCATATCATGCACAGGTACAAATTCCCTATATTATAATTACATAGATCTAAAATGTACTAATAAAATTTTACAACCCCTCCCCAAAAGGATGGGTAACATTTGTGTTACTACTGTACCATGGGATATTCTATCCACATTTCAAAAGTGAACTTAACCTTGAAAAAGCATTTAGTCAGCAAACAGGATTTTGATGTCAGAGATGAACCCCAGGGCCTGTGCATACTAGGAAAGCACTCTGCCATTGACCTGTCACTAGATGGTGTCCATTGAGACAGGGATCTCAACTCATCCTGTTACATTACGTTCCTGACTATCATCAGGGAAAATGAATTCCAGGCTGCATCACTGAGAGGCACAGGAGAATTAGGAAGAATATTAAAAGGACCCTGGCTAGAGCAGCTGAAGAGGGCTCACTCTAATGAAGAGCTTCAAACTGACCCATTCACAAAAGAGGTTAACATTTATGGATCAACAGAGAGGCCAAGGTCTGTCAGATCACTATTTCAGTTTCATAGCTCCAGAGGAATCCTTATGGCTTGCTGGGTGACTGGTTCCCATGAGATGACAGTGCCTGCCTGGGAGGGGTGACTCCATGGAGCGCCCAGTGAACTTCTCCCTTTTCAGGAATCTGAGGTGACTGCAGAGATCTCTAGACCCTGTTCAAGAGATTTGGATCTGGACATTGCAAGAGTTAGCAAACCCTGAAAATCACTTACGTGTCCTGAGTCTTGAAGGGTGATGAAAAAAGACTTCTTAAATTCAAGGCTAATAAAACCTTGTAATAAAGACACTCCTCTGGGTAAAAGATCCAGGGCTGAGGCCAAGAGAGGAGAATAAAGAGAGGACTCCACATCACACATGCATCATACACCTACCACTTTTGTTGGGATACCACCTTTCTTTCCTTCCTTCCTCCCTTCCTTACTATGTCTCTTTTTCTCCCCCTCTCTCTGCAATTATTAATTATACTGAACAGTCACAGGGAAAATGTCTTTTTTCAGAGCAATGGGGGAAAACACTAGTATTAAAAATTTCAAGTTACAAAGCTACATATACCCTTAATCTGTTCTTCACTGCCTATTTTTTTTTAAACACTGTGACATAACTTTTTTTTTTTTGGTACTGGGGATCGAACTCACGACCCTGTGCTTGCAAGGCAAGCACTTATGCTGCTGAGCTAAATCCACATATTTTCTAATTATGATAAGGTTTTTATTGGGTGTCATATACAGAACCTACTGGTAACAAAGTACACCTGATTGAAGCTTGTTCTTCTTTTTTTTTTTTTGTCTTTTTCTCAGTACCAGGGATCGAACTCACAACTGCATGCTTACAAGGCAGGCGCTTATGCCACTGAGCTAAATCCCCAGCCCCCGAAGCTTGTTCTTTCTGACGGCTAACTAATGCTGCAATGGCAATGTGAAATCCTCTGTATCTGCAGACCTAATTCACAGATTGCTTAGTCATATTTTTGGTCAGCGATATTTAGGAAAAGAAGGAGCTGAACATGATGGAAGAAGAGAGAAGGGTAAAGGATGAGAGAAGGAAAGAAAGGGGGAAGAAAGGGAGGAGACAGCAGAGAGGAGGGGAAGACTGTAAAACAGAGGGGAGGATAAAGGAAAGAAAGGAGGGAGAGAAAGAAGTGGAAGGAAGGGGAGAGGCAATGAAAGAGAAAACGATACATCGCTATTATGATTGATACAGTTGGGTTAAAGCTACTCTTATTTGTTTCCTACTTATTCTACATACTCTTTATTCCTCTTGCCTTGCTTTTTTGTTTTTCTGGATAAATGTAATATTTTTAATATTCTGTTTTGGTTTCTCTATTGACTTTTAAATTATCTGTCTTTGTGGTTGCTCTAAAAATGGTAATATACACATTAAAGTTAATTGTCTATTTTCACACCATATTTAGCACTTCATAGACATATAGGGACCTTACAAAAATGTAATTGAAATTAGTTTCTTCACAAAAGTAAAATAAAATAAAGATACTCCTTAAATGACAGACATGCCTGTGTGTGGAGCTGAGCAGGGATCTGCACCCAAAGTTTTAAGGTCAAAGGGACAAAGTTTTCTTGTCTTCTATCTTTACTTCTTCTGTCCTACCTCAGAACCAACAATCCTAGCCAACCAAATGAAATGAGTCCACATGGCCAGTCTTAAGTTGTTACAGGTAGTGATGAAAGCAAGTAATAAGAGTTAGGTAACTTACTTTACATGATAGAAAGTATGAGTCAGTATTAAAAATCATTAAGATTTCATTGTAGGTAGGCTCTTGCCTGCTGCTTCTGCCCAGTGTAAATGCAGTTTTTTGTTCATAACCAAGTTCATCTGAAGGTAAACTGTGAACTTAATATTTAGTTGGTCTTTCATTCAGACAATGGGCTCTTTTTTTATTTTTATTCTTTGGTACCGGGGATTGAACTCACAACCTTGTGCTTGCCAGGCAGGCACTTATACCACCAAGCTAAATCCCCAGCCCTCTTTTTATCCAGAGATGATAGAAATAAGGGCTCTTTTTATCCAGAGATGATAGAAATAAGACTGAACCAAATACTGCAAGCACCCATGGACATCTGGTTTAGTGATTAAGTTCCCCAAAGAGGGCAGCAGGATTTTACTGATTTGTGATGCTGAGCTAATGTCTGGTACTGTCCATCGGTCCAGTGCATGGTTCCAAAAGGTGTTTCTTCTTGTGACACTTGGGACACCAGGTGGTCATCATCAACTAGGCAGTGATGAATTTTCATATATCTGGCCTCTTCATCCTGCACAAAATATCATGGCCTCATGGGTTAGGATGCTGTAATAGGGTCAAATGACTTCAGATGCTTGGGCTTTAGTTGTCTTGTGAAAAAACCTAAGTGTGGGGCAGAAAAGTGGGAGGAGAAAAGAAATCTTATCAGCTCTAAGGAGAAGCAGTCAAGTTAACCCTGCAGTGCAGTCTTGAATGAATTTTTTTGTTTTTTGTTTTTGTCTTTTTCCTTTTTATCGGTACCGGGGATCGAACTCACGACTGCCTGCTTGCAAGGTAGGTGTTTATGCCGCTGAGCTAAACCTCCAGCCCCCATGAATTTTTCTTTTTTATACAGTCTTGCTATACAGTTCAGGCTGGCCTTGAACTCCATAGGTAGCCCAACCTGGTTCCAAATTTACCACAACCTTCCTGCCTCAGCCTCTAGAGCTATAGGCTTACAGTGCCACCATACCCAGGAAACTAATCATTTTCAAATGATCAACGTGTCTAAGTGTAGAACTGAGCAGAGTCTGACCCAAGTGTTAAGACATCAAAGGAAACACACACAGTATGAAGAAAGAGATGCCAAACATTTCAGCCCATTTTAGGTAACCATCAGACATCTGTGAAAGATCAGCCTTCAGCTTTTGGGAAGAAATCCTGACAACTGGTATCATAATGCACTTGTCAGGGGTGTCACCTACAGGAGTACTGTGAAACTGATCATGTATTTCCCAGCTCCTATCTCCAACATAAGTGTCTGAGTAAGCCCAAATTTTTCCCCTCTTGGCAGAAATTATCTAATTTCATGCAAACATTCTGCTTTTGTGGTCTTCATGATATGTCCAGGGGCGAAAATAGCTGCTGATTACATTATGAACAGTTCTCTAAAATTATTAGTAAGTAAACAAAACAAAGAGCCATACTCACGACCCAGAGGGAAGTTCCCAGCCCCTAGCACAACCCAGTGAGTTCCTAGAAACTAGACTCATTTTTCGTGACTGGGCAGTCAGAGCTCAGAGCTGTGCTCCCATCCCAGCCTCACTCAGCTCCTCCAGCTAAAGCTTTTCTGCACCGCCGACGCCGCGGGCATGAAGGGTTTGCCAGTGGACTCCGGCTGTTGCTTCAGTCCAAGATGTCACTAGGGCTGGAGTCGGCGGCTGAGTTGCCCATGGCCCCACTTCCGCGCTCACCGTTGTCCTTCCAGTCTTCATTTGAGGCCATCACCCCCTCCCTCAGCTGCCCGCAGCGGCCTCTACAGCCTGCGCGCGACAGGCGAAAGTCCGAGTTCCGGCGGCCAGAGTACCCGAGGCGGGTGCGTGCGTGCGTGCGCGCTCACGGGACTGAGGACGCACGACCCGGCGTGTCCCTGCTGGGTGAGCGCGCTGGAGAAGGCGGCGGGGGCGCGCGGCAGCAGCAGTAGCGAGGCTCCTAGAGGTGCGCGCGAGTTTGCGGAAACTACGTCGGTTTTGGGACCCGCTGGACAACCTACTCCTTTCCTAGTATCCTGTTAATTTGCTTTCCTGACACTGAGACATAACTAATGGATTTCAAAGATTATTTGTTTTGTTTCCTTTTTAAAATTGTCCTTTTACCTGTTAATTTTGAGCTTTGAAACTACAACGCACTGAATGCTAAGTTGACCCATTTTCTATTCAGAAACAGAAGAAAGTTCTCAGAAAAACAGGAAATCCTGATACTGTAAATCTATGGTTTAGTGACTAGCTTGTCCCAATACTAATTACTCAGTTTTCATAACTATGCTAATGCTAACCTCCGATGCTTTTGGGCACAGGCTATGCAGGAGTGCTCAGCACTGTGTTCACAACTGACTGCAAATCTCAAAATGACTCTCAAGCAATTGTCGCAGACACCCACGGCGAGGTGAACCGGGGCATTGCCCATAGCAGGGTTTGAGTTAGTCCCGCGCCCTGGCCGGCAGGAAGCAGGTGTCTGTTTGACCAAGCTGTGTGCCAAGCCCGGTTGTTGTCGTCGGGCCGCTGGGTGTGGACACATCTGCCGCGCGTTTCCAAGCGGGAATCTCTTTCCTCTCCAGTCTGCGCCTCGAGTATCACCGAGGCGCCCGCTGCAGAGACGCAGAACGCCACCCAACGCCCGCCATCTTGTCCGCGCGGAGTGGGACCGGGTCGGGTAGGAGGTGGGGCCGCTTCTGGAGGTGACTTGGCCGCGGCGCTTGTTTCAATTATATTTGCCATGAAATGTTTTAGGACGAGGAAGGGGTGTCTGGGTCCGTGTGTGGAGTTTGTGTTCTTGGCTGCCGAATGTAGGCGGCTTGGGTAGATGAAGTAAGGAACTAGGACAGTGAAGTTCCTGGGCAGAGGGTGGTTGGTTTGGGGAAAGTTTTGTGGATGGAGAGGAGTTGGCAGCTGAAGGTATGGGAGCACCAGAGAGAAAAGGGGGACACAATTCCAAAGTTTTGGAGCATGGCAGAATAGAGGACACAGCAGGAGACTGGGTCGGGGTGGGAAGGACAGCGAGTTTGCTTTGGGACTGTCTGCACTGGCGTCGCGCGCAGAACATCCTGCGGGAGATGGGTGTGTAGCAGTGGTGAACCGAGGCAAAGACACGCGTGAGAGCCTGGAAGGGGAACCAAGTTAAGTTGGTGGATCGAGGCGGTCGAGGCGAAGGACTGGGATCTGATTTCTTGTAGGATTGAGGAGCCCAAGTATAGCAGAGACCTGGCCTGGGGAATTAAGCGTCTGCGTCTGCAGAAGTGAAGGAAGTTGAGAAGGACTCTGAATCTTGGGTTTAGCAATTAGGAAGTCATCGGTCATTTTCCAGAGTTGCTTTAGTGAAAAAATAGGAAAACGGTTAACAGCCTGTAATGTGTTTATTGTTTCTCTTCCCCAGCGGCTGGAGTACTAGGCAAGGAGCAAGGTATGGTTTCTAGTCGCGGCTCTCCCGCTTCCTACTCTTGTGATTTTGGTTGAATCATTATCCATGAACTGGAACAGGAAACCAATCTCAGTACAACCAGAAGGACTCTTTCATTTTTTTTAAATTAAGTTTTTTGGTACATTTAGGAATATACATAATGATCACATTCATCATAAAGATTTTATACCTATATATGATGTAACTTGCTTTTTTTTCCCATTTCCCTTCCCTCACTTCAGCTCCTTTTCCCCTTACTTACAAAAAAGGTTTATTTCCAGTTTTTCCTTCTTTTCCTCATTTCTTTTTTTTCCTTTTCTTTCCTTTTCCCCCTTCCTTAGTCCCCTTTCCATTTGAACATTTTCTTCCTGTTTCACAATCTCTTTTATACATTTTAGGACCCTTTCTTTTTTTTTTTTTCTTTTGTCTTTTTCCTTTTTACCGGTACCGGGTATCGAACTCACGACTGCCTGCTTGCAAGGCAGGCGCTTATGCCGCTGGGCTAAATCCCCAGCCCCAACCCTTTCATTTCTGGCAACACCTAACAGTGGAGAACTGGTGGTGTGTGGCACATACTTTGGAAAATGGTGATGCAGTAGTTTAGAGCTGTAGTAAACAAAAGAAAAAATCATATTTACCCACCCTCCTTGTGAGATTGGATCACCTTATGTTGCCTGGGCTGGCCCTGAAATGGCCTCAAGCATTCTTGTTGCCTCAGCCTCCTAAGTAGCTGAGACTACAGTTATACACTATCATGCCTGGTTTAATACTTACATTCTGACTCTGTCAACATTGATTTAGCTAATGTAGTTCAAATACATCAGTGGTGTCCAAAATGACCTTATAAAATAGTTAGGCTTATATCCATTTTGGAGATAAATGGGCTGTGACAATTCTGCTTCACCATCAGCTTGATTGGACTCTGAGGCTAATGGAAAGGTGATTGGTGCATAGGGGCATGGTGCCAAAGTGGACTAACCCTCTGGTACTCAGGATTGTGTGTTAGAGTGGGTCACTGGGTACCTGGAAGGATTGTGGCCCATTCGTGCTGGTCCCCTGGCTGCTTCTTGGCTGCCATGGATAGAGCAGCTGTGCCCAATCAGGCCTTCCTGCCGAGCCTGTTTGGCATTGCAGCCAGTCAGCTGTGGATCAAACCTGAACCCTCAAGTGGATCAGCCATTCCTTGCAGTTTTGGCTGTCAGGTTTTTTTTTGTCCCAGTAATGAGAAAGTGACTAACAGAGGCCCTAAGAATTTCAGGGCCTTGTCCATGGTCAGAGTGTGGCAAGTGGTGACTATGGCTGGAGCCCAGACCTCCCGAGACAGCGCTTTCTCAGTCCCCTTCCTGCTCTGGCCCTGGTCACCAACACTGAGCACACTAAACTAGTTAGGTTAGTAATCCTATTTCCATTTTCTTTCTCTTCCTACATTTTTTCTCTTTCTCTCTTTCCTGTTTTTTTTTTTTTTTTTTTTTTTTTTTTTTTTTTTGAGGCAGTCATTCACTATATAGTTCAGCCTGACCTTGTATTCACTAACTCAGACGGGCCTCGAACTCTCGGCATGTCCTTCCTGCCTCAGCCTCCACAGTTCTGGGATCACAGGTGTGCACCACTATATCTAGCTTCAGTTATATTTTTAAAAACATTAGGGGCCTGGGGATATACTCAGTGACAGCACTTGCCCAACATAAGCAAGACCCTGGGTTTGATTCCTAGCATAAACAAAACAAAAGAAGGAGGAGGAGAAGGAGGAGGAGGAGGAGGAAGGAAAGGGGGAGGAAGGGAAGGAGGGGGGGGAGGAGGAGAAGAAAGAAGAAGAAAAAGAAGAAGAAGAAAGAAAAAAGTCCAGTAGAGTCTGGAGCATGGGAAACTCATATTCAGCTCCAAATTCTGGGAGGCCACACTCATGGTGGCCAAATAATGTGGTGTAATAAACAGTATTCTTAGTTCACTGCACAGTTGCTTAGTATTTCCTCTTACTGTGTTTCCCCCTTGTGTTGACCAATTCTGTCTTCTGTACAGCTGGTCACCCAGTCCTGACCACACCATTCTTTTTTTTTAATCGGTACCAGGGATCGAACTCACGACTGCCTGCTTGCAAGGCAGGTTCTTATGCCACTGAGCTAAATCCCCAGCCCCCACCACACCATTCTTAATACAGGCAGAAGGTTGTATTTAATCAGCAGGAATACAAACTGGTTATGGTGGTGCACAGCTGTAGTCTTAGCATGCTGGGAGGCTGAGACAGGAGGATCACAAATTTGAGCCCAGCCTGGATTACATCATGACTTAGCAGGACACTGTCTCACAGAAAAAAAAAATTCTCCTTTGAGTCAATAATCTCTTATTTACCATGACAAATTGAGATAGACATAGCTACTTTTAAAGGAAATAACCATGTAAAACAACCAACATGATTTTATGACAATTTGGAAAGGACTGAGTCCAACAGCTGTACTGAGTATTGCACTAGCTCACTCTTTTATTTTTTGTATTTATTTATTTTTGGTTTTTTGAGATGGTAATTCAGTTCAGGCAGGCCTCAAACATTGTGATCCTCTTGCCTCAGCTCCAGTTGCTGGAATTCCAGGTGTGTGCTACCTTGCGAAGAGGTTGGCTTACTCTTTTAGATTTTCATATTGAGTCCTGTTTAATATCATAAGTAACAGAAAGTTGATGTGCTATTGATCTCACTGAAGTTCTCCAGTGGTGTAAAATGGTGGCTGAATGTTAGCTCTGACAGGGGAAATCCCAGTTAGCATCCTTCTTGACCTCCTGTTAGTTGTTGTGAGCCTCTATTCCAGTTTAATCATCACAGTATTGTCTCAAAGAGTGTGAGGAGCAAATAGAATAATCTAAGTAAAGCACTTGGCACAGGTCTACTACATGGAAAGCATGCAGTAAGTACTATATAATTTCTTAAAAGTTTTGGTAATTTGAGTGGTCCAGTTTAATTATTTTCTAAGCAAGCACAACTGATCAACAACATCCTTATCTTCTTGTCCCTTAATCCTGTGTATGTATTGTTTTAAAATGTTTAACATATCATCTAGGTATAATTTACATGTAACAATATGCATGCATCATAGGTATATGGTTTGCTGAGTTTTAACAAACTGGCACTCTGATTGGGTACAGAACTATTCTACCACCTAAACATCTCTTCATTCCCTTGGCAGTCAGCCCTGCCATCCTGAACAACCACTGATCTGTTAGCTGTTATTGTGCATTGGTTCTACCAGGATCTCAAATGGTGTGTCCTAATTCATCGGCACAATGTCTGAAATTTGTGCATGATTTGCATATATCTGAAATGCATCTTTGTTTATTGCTGGCTATATTCTGTCGTGTGGACGTACCACAGTCTGCCTGTTTTCTTGGAGATAGACACTTGGTTTCCCAGGTTTTTGTTTTTGTTTCTCAGTGTTGGGGATTGAACCCAAGGCTTTTGGACTGAGCTACATCTCCAGCCCTTTCTTATTTTTCATTTTGAGACAGGGTCTTGCTAAGTTGCAAAGCTGCCTAGGATGGACTTAAGTTTGTGATCTTTCTACCTCAGTTTCCTAAAGTGCTGGGGTTACAGGAGTGCACTATTACACCCAGATGCAGGTTTTTGTTTTTGTTTTTGCTTTTGAAACCAAGCCTTGAGAAAGCAATGAACTGTTTCTAAAGAGCCAGAGGAAAGCACCTGTTTCCAAACGCTGGGTGGTGAAAGGCTGTGTTCAGTGTGCTCTTCATTGGTGGGACAAGACAGAGTGTTTCCGGTTGCTGTCACGAGTTGGGGGGCTGCAGTGGCTTTGTGGGGAGAACCTCATCCTCTCCCGGACTGCGGGCAGGAACCCCAGCTGGCCTGGTGTGAGGCCTTGTGCAGGTGACTGTTTTGCATCTTGCCCTACAGCCAGGTATTTCAGTCTGATTATTCCCTTGTTCTTTCTTTTATTCATTCCCGGGACTAGGTTCCCGGGACTGGAGTGGGCCCTGGGACAGCGGTAAAGCAGACAGAACCTGCTTGCCAGGAAATGCAGAGCCTGAGCACACAGAGGGACCCAGGCCTGAGCCGAGCCGTGGGCGGGGCCTGCGCGATCATGTAAGCATGGGCCCGTACAAATTTTAAAAATTGCGGGGGCGGGGCGAGGGGAAAAAAAGGACCGCTGAGGCGCTTCTGGTGCTCTCCACTCCCTCCCTTGTATTAGCTTCTTTTTATTGGGCCTGATTTCAGCTGTGTCCGTGCCCTTTGAAAAGCAGGTGAAAGGCATGCAAGGGCCTGAGGTTCTGCGCAAATAGGCAGAGAGCCCTGCCTCCGGGAGGGACTCAGGCCGAAGGAGAGGTGTGGCCAGGGCTCTATACAGGATCTGCAAAACAAAAGGGCAGAAGGGACAGGAACTCCTTTCCCAACAATTCACCGTCCCAGACACAAAACCTGTGCTAGTTGGTCTGTATAGAAATACGAAGTGGACCGTCTATTGACCCCCTTCCTTTTTGTAAAAGACCTGAACCCCTGTGTCCTATTATCTGTGATAGGATTATTTCCAAAAGATGAAAAATATTTCCAAAAAATGAGAAGTATAAAACAAAAGAGGCCTTTATTCTGAGAACACGGAGAGAGATGACTGGCGATCCGGCTGCTGAAGTCTGGCAATCTCTCTCGCGGACACGTGGCGTGGGGGAATATAAGTAGCCTCAGCTTAGGGCAGTGCCCTAAGGCCATTAGAGATGCACAGGTATTTCACTGGCACAGGTTTGGCGCCAGGGACAGATTCCGAAGGGTAGGGGGATATAGGGTTACAAGTAAATCTCTAGGGGCGGGGAGACATTCGAGCTGAAGCTTTTTTCTGGCTACAGTGTCCCGTCTGGGTCAACAACCCTTTCAATCTGTCTTTAGATTTGCTCTCTATGTATATTTTGGGTTTCTCATATAAGAAAAATTATGGCGTATGTAAGCCTATGTGTCTGGTTTACTTCACTCATCATTTTGATCTCAAAGTTTACAAATGACTCAAGTTTATCCTTTGGCAGTGTAGTGCTCTAAATACATTTGTCTAAATACGTTTTCTTTATCCATTCATCTGTTGATGGACAATAGGTTGCTTCTAAGATTTAGCTATTATAAATTATGCGGCCATAAACATGGGTATATATGGATCACTGTAATATGATGATTTTAACTCTTTCAGGGATGATTTTAACTCTTACAAGAAGAGCGGGTTCAAATGGAGTTCCTATTTTTAGTGTTTTGTGGAATCGCCATACTCATTTCCATAGTGGTTATTCTAGTTTACATTCTCAGCAGCAAAGCAGAAGGGATCTTTTTTCCATACAGCCTTACCAGCATTTGTTATCTGATTTCTTGATGATGGCCGTTCTTTCTGGAGTAGGGTGGAATCTCAATGTTGTTTTAATTGGTGTCTCTGTAGTGACCAGAGATGCTGGACATTTTTTCCATGTATTTATTGTACTTCTTCTGAGAAATGTCTATTTGTTTCAGTTGTCCAGGTTTTGATTCGGTCTTTTATTTTAGGGGATCTAATTTTTTTAGTTCTTCCTATATTCTTTTTGTTGTTGTTGCTGTTTTGAGACAGGATTTTAGTATGTAGTTCATGCTGACCTTGAACTCATTGATGATCCTCCTCCCTAATCCTTCTGAGTGCTGGCATTATAGGTGTGCATCATCATGCCCACGTTGTCATATATTCTTTGTTGTTATCATTGTTGTTGTTGTTGTTGTTGTGATGTAGATCTCACTGTGTAATTCAGGCCGGTCTTGAACTCATCACATAGCCCAGGTTGGCCTCAAATTTACGGTGATCCTTCTCCTGCCTCCACTTCCTGAGTACTGGGACACGGAATGCACCACCATACTTGGCTCATCATATATTCTATATATTAGTCCTCTGCCTGAGGAGTAATTGACAGAAAATTTTCCTGTTCTGTAAGTTGTCTCTTCACTCTGTTGATTGTTTCGTTTGCCGTGCAGAAGACTTTCATTTTGGTATTTTATCCCATTTGTTGATTTTTAATGTTATTCTTTTTTTCTTTGTTTTGTTTGAGACAGCATCTTACTACGTAGCCCAGCTGGCCTCAGACTGGTGGTGATCCTCCTGCTTCAGCCTCCTGAGTGCTAGGATTTCAGGCTTGCACCCATGCATGGCTTCTTGATGTAATTTTTTTGCGCAATTGGGATTCTGCTCAGAATGTCCTCTCCTATGTGTATATATCTTCAAGAGTTTTACCTATTATCTTCCAGCAGATTAACTGTTACTATTTTAGTATTTAGATCTTTGAACTACTTTGATTTTAGTTTAACTCATGTGAGATACAGGAACCTAGACTCAATTTTCTGCATTAGATAGCCAGTTTTCTCAACACTGTTTATTACAGAGGCTGTCTTTTCTCCAGAGTATGTTTTTTGGCTCCTTTATCAAAGATCAGGTAGCTGAATATACTTGAGGTTGTTCCTGCCTCCTCTATTCTGTTCCATTGATCCACTTGTGTGCCAATAACTTGCTATGTTTTTGTTTTCAACCACTATAGCTTTGTAGTATAATTTGAGGTCTGGGATTGTGAAGTCTCCAGCTTTGCTCTTGTTGCCCAGGATTGCTTTTGCTATTCTGGGTTTCTCTTGGCTCCATAGGAATTTTAGGATTGTTTTGTTTGGTTCTGTGAGGAATGCTATTGGTATTTGGATTGGGATTGCATTAAATCTGTGTATCAGTTTTGGAAGTGTGGCCATTATTGACATTATTGGTTCCAACTACCCAGGAACAGGGGACATCTTTTCATTTTCTGATTCCTTCCTTGATCTCTATTTTCAGAGTACAATACTGTATTTTCATTGTAGGATTCTTTCACTTTCTTGGTTAGGTTAATGATATTTTTTCCTAATCTCTTTCTCAGAGAGTTCATTATTGGTGTTTAGGAACACTCTTGATTTTGTATCCTGCTACATGAATGTGGTTATACTAGGAGTTTATTATTATTTTATTTTTATTTTTAATTTTGGTACCGGGGATTGAACTTATGACCTTGTGCTTGCCAGGCAGGCGTTTATGCCACTGAGTAGATTTTTTATGTAGGGGTTTGTGTCATCTGCAAATAAATTATAACTAGACTTCCTTTATTATACATATCCATTTTGTTTCTTCCTCTTGTCTGGTTGCTCTGGCTAATGTCTGTAGTACTATGTTGAACAGGAGAGGTAACAGTGGGCATCCTTGTCTAGTTCCTGATTTTATAGGGAAAACTTTCAGCTTTTTCCCATTTATTATGATGTAGTAAGTTCGTCACTAATGGCTTTTATCAGATTGAGGTTAGGTCCTTCTATACCTATTTCAGAGTTTTGTTGTGATAAAAGAAAAAAATGACAACGAATCTAGTTTTAAAGATAACTTTTAAGTGGCTTTTATGGTCCTAGAATCAGGCAGCAGTCTGAAAACTGCTTCAGAATGCTTTGCCCTGCCACATATGCAGGTTGTATTTGAGTCAAAAAAAACAAAAACAAAAAAACCAAGTGACATAGACAAGAAAAAGTGATATATAAAGAGAACTGCCTAATTAAAGTCCTCCATTCGCCTATTTGAACCCACCTTAAACAGTCGGCTGTTGTGATTGGCTGAACCTTGGCTGCTTGTTACAAGAATAGGTTACCAGGCTGGGGATTTAGCTCAGCATTGTAAGTGGGTGGTCGGTCATGAGTTCAATCTCTGGTACCGATAAAAAGGAAAAAGACAAAAAATAAATAAATAAAATAAAATAAAATAAAATTTATTAAAAAAAAGAATAGGTTATGAAGAGTCTGGTTACAGTTCCTTAACTGGGCAGAAAATTGTAGGCCAAACTTAGTTCAGTTTAACATTTTTAAAACTGTAATTTATAATTATTCCTGAGTTTGATTCCCTGTACCAAAAACAAAACAAAAAAATATTTTTGGGGGGCTGGGGATTTAGCTTAGAGGCATAAGTGCCTGCCTTGCAAGCAGGCAGTCATGAGTTGGATCCCTGGTACCGGTAAAAATACAAATACAAAAAAAAAAAAAAAAAGCATTCTGAAAAAATATTTTTTTGTCAATTGAAAAACTATAGTTGTATATATTTATGGGGTACATAGTGATGTTATGACTTATGAATACAATGTAGAATAATAAAATCAAGCTAACAATATTTATCATGTCAAAGGTATATTTTGTGATGAGACCATCTGACATTTACTCGTGGTAATTTGGAAATGTATAATACATTGTTGTTTACTGTGTACAACATATGGGAGCAATATCTGTTAAAAAGAGGAAATGTGATTTTTTGTGTTTCACTGAGGATGCAATCCTTTGACCATCATTATCCGTGTTACTCCCTCCAGCCTCTGGTAACTGTTATTCCACTCTGCTTCTCTGACTGTCTAGGCTTCAGCCCACATGGTCCAGCGCATTCTTTCTGTGCCTGGTTTATTTCACTTGGTTTAATGTTATCCAGTCTCATTTGTGCTGTGGCAAATTAATAAACATCTCTTTTTAAGACAATGCGATTTCATTTTGTACACACATTGTAGTGTGTGTGTGTGTGTGTGTGTGTGTGTGTGCTATTGGGGCTTGAATCCAGGGCTACATCCCCAGCCCTGTATTTTTTATTTGGAGATAGGATCTTACTAAGTCACTAAGTTACCTAGGCTGAGCTTCAGCTTTTTTTGGTGAAGTAGGAGTCCCAGATTTACTGACCAGTTTTTATTACTATTTTCCCTACCTACACATTACCCGTTTTCCCCTACTGTGAAGCGAGCATTTGCTGATGAGCAAGGTGGGGAGATCGCTTAGTGCATCCAACGCGCAGCTCTGGGATGTGGAAACAGAAGAGGATGATATGAGGGAAGGTGACCTGGGGTACGGCCTCGGATGGAGCCCTGGCAGACTCAGTGAGCTGGCAGTCTCACCTTCACTTCCATCTAGACGGTCAGATGGAAAGAACTTGAGTCCTTCTCCATTTCCAAGAGCCGGGGAAGAAAGCAAGAGGGCTGTTTCCCAGTGTTTTACGCACACGAACCTGCACACCACCTGCCCTCAGAGGCCCAGAGCAGGCAGCTGCAGCCAAGAACGGAAGCTTGGTAAGGGTGCACAGTCCTCTCCTCCTGCCGTTTCAGTGCGCAGTTGCCCTCCCAACAGATGCAAAGGGAAACCACGTAGATGTCAGGAATTCATCTTAGCTCACCCTTGTGACCGGTGAGGTCAGCCATAACACAGAACAAACTGATGTTTGTATTTTCAACCTTTGTGCAAATTATGAACCGCAGTAGTTATTCTGCATTACTAGTGTATATATGTGTATGTTTCTTTGGTAATAGTTATCACCTACCTTCCTTCCTTCCTTCCTTTCTTTTTCTTTTTTTTGGCACTGGAGATTGAGCACAAGGCTTTCACACTGAGCGGCATCCCCAGCTCATCTTTTATCTTTTATTTTGAGACAGAGTCTTGATAAGTCACTGTGTTGATTATGCAAGGCTCAAACTTGTGATCTTCTTGCCTCAGTCTCATAAGAGTACTAGGGTTATAGGCATGTGCCACCATGCCTGGCATCTACCTTGATTTTTCTGGAGGTAGTTTTATTTTTTTCTTAGCCAACAAACTAATAGTTGCTTGGTACGGTGTGGTACTAAGCACAGGTCTAGGTTCTCCCAATAAGTAAGTGAAGCAGGGAAGGTGCTGAGATCGCGTTTCTCTCACTAGAGTTGAGGAGCAGGCTGTAACCCCATGTCAGCACATGCATGGCTACCAGCAGTGCTGGGGAGACACTGCACCAGCATGGGGTGCCAAGGTGCTCTCGGACCAGGGCTAGGGGTGGCTTCTAGGAGGTGATGGACAGACACCTCCACTAAGTGGGGAGCCAGCCTGGTGGCTCCCTAGGAGAGGATGTTGCAGGCAGAATGCAATGCTTGGATGCCTTCATAAAAACTGGAGGAAACTGCTGGGAGGTGAGCCATGCCTAACCATGTGAGCTCCTATCGTCATGAACTCCTGTCTTTTTGTCAAAGTTGACCTGATTCTAGTTTGGGAATATTTCAGTGGTTTCTTTCTTCCTTCCTTTCTTTCTCCTTTCCCTTCCTGCTCTGCAGATTCAATTCAAGTACACACAGTAGCCCTGAGCTACTGTGGCATTTTTTGTTCCTAACACCTAATTTCCAAACTGCCCCATGGAGTGGCTTCAAACAGCACACAATAGATTTATTCACTTACAGTTCTGCAGGGCTGACATCCAAAACAGAGTTCACTGGGCAACCCCCAGGTGCAGACAGGGCTGTGGTCCTCGGGGGCAGTAGGCACCCCCCATCCCCACCCCTGCTTAAGGAACTGAGTTTTGGGGCTGCCTATGAACCTTGCTATGGCTTCTTCCTCTCTGTCACTGCCAGCACTAGCTGCCCGAGGCTTTCTCACATCGTGTCACACTGACAGGGACTCCTGGCCTCCCTCTCCATTTACAGGCCTTTCTGAGTGCCCACTTGGCTAAGCCGCAGTAGTCCCGCCTCTCTTATTCTCCCTACAAGCAGTCGGTCAGTGTCTGTGGCCACGGGACCATGGGCTCTGGAGATTAAGATGCGAACACCTTTGGCTCCATTATTCTGCCAGCTACACATAGCACCAAGTCAAAACTTGTCATTGCCAAGCCAGTGTCACCATGTCTTCCCTTGGAAACCTGTCATCCTAGTGAAAACGTAATTTAGGTTTTGCCCCGTGTACTGTTGTGTCAGTGAAAGTTAACAACAGCAAGCAAAAAATTGTTTTGAGGAATGTTTGGCAGTCCTCAAAATATTTTTCTGAAATTATTTTTCTTCCTTTTACTCCTTCTTGTACTCTGGTTTGTAACTCATATGTTTTCTGGCCAGATGGAAATGTAAAGCTCAGTTTAGTTTCTTGGTTGACTGTAATGAGGAGACAATAACTGAAGTCATAGGAGGCATCTAGTCAGTTATTCTCTGGAAAGAAGTTAAATTTAGGTTTATTTCTTAGCCATTCATATTATATACTGATCAACCTTAAGCCAAACACTAATATCTATTTCTTTTACTCACCAACATTCGTGTCTTGTTATGTAGTTCAGGCTGTCCTTGAATTTCAAATGATCCTCCTGCCTCAGCCTCCCAAGAGCCAGGATTATAGGCATGTGCCACCACATTGTCCAACAAAAACCTTTTAATATTTTGTAAACAGATGTCCTATATTTTTTAGGTGTCCTGTGTATACTAGTTATTTATTTCATATGCTGTATTTAACTAAAGAAAACATTCAATTTTTTCCCCCCTTATTAGATACTAATTCAGAAGTGTCAAATGAAGAACTAAGGCAACGTCTTCAAGAAACCTTAGAGGTATGTACACTGGTCAATACTCAGATTCTCAGGTGAATAAAATCTGCAGATGAATATTTGTTTAAATTATACCAAAATTATTTGAAACCACAATTCTGGCTTTCCAGATATTCTTTTTTGTCTTTCTTAGGCTCTTTGGGGAGCCTGGGGCATCAGGCTTGAGTTCTGCTACTAAACTGTCCTGGCCCTTTATCTTTTCAACCCTCCTGTTTCTCATGCACCCCATCTCCTGAAAGGCTACTGTGTCATTATGTCCTGCTGTGTGTCACCACAGTCCCCTCCAACCTGATTTCTGCTGCCCTCTGGTTAGTGTTTCCTCCCGGCCCCTCTTCCACAGGCCTGCATTTGCCCCTAAGGCGTCAGGAGGTGATACTCTCTTGGGTGGTTTGAGGCCTGATGCCGGAGCAGGCATGTGTCTTGCTCCTTTGGGAAGCAGGAAGCCCAGCTTGGTGTGTGTTTGTGACTCTTCTTGTCAAAGTGACTGTTGACAAATTACTACAAACTGGTGACTTAAAATGACAGAAATCTGTCACCTCTCAATTCTGGAGGTCACAAATTTGAATCTAAGTTCAGGAGGGCCCAGATCCTTCTGAAGCCTCCAGAGGAGAAGCCCTCTGTGCCTCTTGCTGCTTCCAGTGGTTGCTGCAGCCCTCGGTGGTAGCCATGTAAATTCTGTCTCTGCCCCGTCTCTCATGGCTTTCTCTACTGAGTGTGGCTCCTCAGAAATGTCCCTAATTTTACACAGACTCCAGTCATTGGCTGTTGTGGCTTTCCTCACGGTAGCCCGCCCTGTGTCCTCTAGGGTGTACTTTCATCTGCTTTCTTCTCTTTTACTCAGTTAAAGTTCGCTCTACCGAGCAGAGCCAGATTTTACTTTTCCAAGCAAACTTTGCCACTGCTATAAATAAATAACTCACACCCGTCATCAGATTGGGGCCAACCCTGATCATCATGACCTCATTGTGACTTGACTGCATCTGTTAAATGGATCTAAATTTGGCTGGAAATCACCTCTGTACCCAAGGCTGCCTGCCTATTTGCAGTTTCTGTGTAACAGCATGTAAAGAAACTTAAAGCTGGATTTAGGAGTATGCTAAGTTCCTTTTCCTAAGGTTTTTTTCCATAATAATATGGGTGAGGAATTAAGCTTATCTGTAACAGTATAGTTAGCCACATGCTTATTTTTTTGCATATCATCAGTCACATGGTTTTAACATGTCAAAGCAAAAAATTTGGGTTTTTAATTAGAATTGGGGCTTGAGGGCTGGGGCTATATAGCTCAGGGGCACAGTGCCTGCCTGACAAGCACATGGTCATGAGTTCAATTCCCAGTACCCTCCCCCTCACAAAAAAATTGATGCTTGATAAGGAGGCTCTCACCTACAGCCTACCTGGTTTTCTTACAAAATGTGGAGGAAATGCCTGTCATCTCATGCTAAAGTGTGGCTCATGCCCTTCTGCAGAAGTAAAACTTGCTTTGTTGAGATTTCTTGAAGTCTGAGTGCTTTATTACTTATACTGACAAATTGAGTCTGGGAGCATATTCCCAACAATTTGGCACCCAACCCTGGGCCAGAGCCCATTAGGACATGGGATTCTTGCCAGGAGGTGACATATCCCACAGTGGTGGTGGCTGGGGCATGAGAGCCTGCATTCTGAGCTGAGAAGCCAGTCATGACTTCTCAACCACAGGAAAAAAGGAAACCAGGCAACTCTGTGCATAGACCAAGGTCATATGTCCTGTAATTCTCTCAAGAGTATAAAGCAGAAGAGCAAAGATCAAGAAGATATTCTTTTTTTTTTTGTCTTTTACCTTTTTATCGGTACCAGGGATTGAACTCACGACTGCCTGGTTACAAGGTAGGCGCTTATGCCGCTGAGCTAAATCCCCAGCCCCAAGAAGATATTCTTGAAAGTAGTACAAACATGAAAAGAAACTGAGTACTTGAGTGATTTATAAGATCCAGAAGATGAGAGTCTGCCTTTTTAATGCTGTGTGTATCACCTCATACAATACTTTGCAGGCACAAGTACACCAAAGAAAAAAGAATCTGTATCCAGCTCTTTCTAGTTTGGAAGATGCATTTCTTGGCAATTTTTTTTTTTTTAACTTTTTATCGGTACCGGGGATCAAACTCACGACTGCCTGCTTGCAAGGCAGGTGCTTATGCCGCTGAGCTAAATCCCCAGCCCCTGGAAGATGAATTTCTGAAAACTGAATTAGTGGTGTGTAGCACTGTGAGAGCCCACTCACAGGGTGGACTCTGTCCTCAGAATTATTTGTCCAAGTTACCTTCTATTAAGACCCTAAAGTTTCCATCTGCTTCCCACACTAGTTTCTTCCAGATGATTTCATTGTCGATCAACATTGTAGGGTACAGAAAAGCCTAAGATGCCTTCAAATGTTGAAAGATGTTCACTTAACCTGAAGTGTGGTTGATATTTACCATTTGTTTCATTCACAGTTGACTTGAAGATGACTCCTTTCACCACAAAACTAGTGTTTTAATATTCAGCATTATGTGGTTCCCTTATTTATTTGGGTGAAGTCTGTCACTATCATTTGGGTAACTTTTTACAACCATTGTAGATTCTAAACAATTTGAGAGAACACAAAATAAAAAGGAGTTACAGTATAGTGACACACATTGCAGAAAAAACCTCAATCCATGACACAATGATAGAATGCTATTTGTTTTACTGAGAAATACAACATTGAAAATGTGTGAAAATATACTGTAATGAAAAGGAATGTATTTAATCAATACAATTAATCAATTTTGTTTGGACTTAGAAGTGAGAGAAGTATGATTGCCAAGTACCAAGATATTGCTGCAGATTTTTTCTCTTCTCGTCAAATTTTGCAGTGAAGATACTATTTCCAAAAAAAGGTCAATGATATGCGAGATAACAATACCTACTTGAGGTGATGTTTATAGTAGACAGACTTCAGATTCAATTCATCCTGTTCGATCCCTGAGGGAGATGCTTGCCTCTATAGCCTGAACAGCTTCTAATTTATGAGGAATATGAAACAAGGTTATCTTGGGACACATTCAGTCTGGGCTTGCTGGTACCTTGTTGGTGTGTAACAAATGCTGAATGTTGTGTTTGTGTCCTTATACTGTGTTAGCACAAAATTAGAATTTTCTAGAGAAATAAAAATAACCAAAGAAGAGTTGGTGAGAATCACTACCCACTCTTGGTTTGCATATCCCTTGTTGCTCATGATGTATGGGGTATGTAGAGCAACACTTCTGAGCGTTTAAAGGATATAAAAGCCCCTTTGGGATTTTCTTAAGAATACACTTACTTGGAAGGTCCGGTCAGGACCCCAGATACTCTGTTCTAACAAGACTTGGATGACGCTGATGTTGCTGGTCCATGAACCACACTTTGAAAGCAAAACTTTGAACACTTGCGTAAGTTATCTGGTATGTAATATATTTAAGTTCAATACCATGTGATAGTGAATCAGAATACTTGAACATGCAGCTTGCAACTCTAAATACTCTAGATCATCTCCAGGTTCTTTTGTATGAATTAAGAATTATGTCTCTTAAAAAAATCTAGAGGAATTCACAAGCAGTGTTAAATGTGGGCTGGCCAAATTGATAATTTGGAGAGTGCATTATCTTGCAGATAGACTAATTTTACTTCTGTCCTTAGGAAGTAGAAATTTTAAAAACGGAACTTGAAGCATCTCAAAGACAACTTGAAGGGAAAGAAGAAGCATTGAAAATTCTTCAAAGCATGGTAAGAAGTTATTATCTCTTATACATTCTAATAATTGGTATTTTTTTAGCATTTTACTTTATTTTTTTGAGACAGGGTCTCATTATGCAGTCCAGGCTGACCTCAAACTTACGGTGACTCTCCTGTCTCAGCCTCCCAAGAATTTGTTTTTTAGTTACTTGTTTTTGTCATTTTCTTTTTTTTTTTATCGGTACCAGGGATCAAACTCACGACCACACACTTGCAAAGCAGGCATTTATGCCCCTGAGCTAAATCTCAAGCCCCAAGAATTTGTTTTTTTAGCTCTAAAGGTAAAATTATTTTGAGACAGTGTCTCACTCTATAGTCCAGGCTGGCCTTAGAGTTACCCAGGCTGAACTCAAACTCATGATCTTCCTGCCTCAGCCTCCAAGGGCTGGGATTACAGATGTGTATCTCAAAGGGTGGCTTGTTTTAACTTTTAAAATGAGCAGTAGTGTTTAACATAGTCACAGGATTTTTTTTTTTTTGAGGCCTAGATTTTTTAACAGCTTTATAATTTATATACCACAAATTTCACTTATTTTAAGTGTACAATACAACTTATCTTTAGTAAACTTCGAGTTGTCCAGCTGTCACTCTGATTGAACCTTAAAACACTTCCATCATCCAGACGAAGGGACCCAGGTGACTGCTGGTCTTTCTCTCTGATAGAGTTGTCATTTCTGCCCTTCCTGTGTCATATTAATAGAACTGTGTGATTCTTTTGCACCTGGATTCTTTTAGCTAAGCATGGTTTTGAGGATCACACATGCCATAGGAGTTATCTATGTTTTTCTTCCTTTTTTGCCAAGTAATATTCCACTGTATAGTGGTCCCAGTTCTCTTTACGCAGGTAACACTTGATGAACACTTGGGTTGTTTCTTCTCTGTGGCTATGACAAATAATTCTGTTGTGTACATTTTCTTTGTGTGGAAAATTCATTCTTTCATTCTCACATTCAATGGAAAAGAGACAAACCAAGATCTGACTTTTGAGTTATCAAACTCTCTGCAAAAGGTTGTCAGTGTGAGATTCTCTTTAATTTTCTTTTATCTTAAAGTGAGAAAGGGAACCTCACTGTGGAGATAGGTGTGATTAGAAATGTGATCTACACTGATGCTAGTTTTCTTGCTCCTAGGCAGTACTTGGCAAAGCCACAAGTCACACACAGGCGGTGTTTCAGAAAACTGTGGAACAAAAGAGACTGTTGGAGAAGGTATGTGGCCTCTTCCATAGGCTGGTGGAGTCCAGGTCCCTTGTGTCACACTTGCCATACTGGTGGATGTGTCCTCTGTGCAGGTTGCTTTCTCTCTCTCCACTGGCTCCACTCTGGGAGTCAGGGGATGGATGAATGGTCCGGTGGCCAGCGAGTTGCTTTCCTTCATTAGGGCAGTGAGTTGCTTTCCTTCGTTAGGGCAGTAGATTTACTGAAACCATACTTCCTGTTGTCATTGTGCTTTCCTGCCTCTGCTTCTGGCAGGGTCTGCATCATCTGTCTATCACTGCACACTGGAAGGGAAGTCAGAAGCCACCCTAGGCGGTCTCTTCCACTGTCTTCAGTGTCCTCCCCTTGTGGGCCACCCTAGTTGACACTTCCAGAAGTGCATGTCGTGCCTGGTGTCCACCTGGGGCAGGGGTGGGCACTGAGAAAGCTGACTTCATTCCAGCAAATTTCAAACAGTTTGAAAGTTTTTTATATTAAGTGAGCTTTGGCAAAAGTTTCTTTGAGTGCTAAACAGGCACGTCATATGTGTCAACAAATTCATAGACTCATTGTGAGAGATCATTTTTTTTTCTCTTTAAATCTTTTTTAAAAATGATTATGATTTGCTTTACCTGTTTACAGTATCCTGAAATAATTTGTGTGTAGTAATTTTCCATGAATGTGTGATTTTCGTCTCACAGGAAATAAATGCCTTGCAATGGGAAATTGAATTTGATCAGAATAGATTTAAAAACATAGAAGAATCTTGGACTCAAAAATATGACAGGTTTGTATATTGCTTTTATTCTATTTATTTATTTATTTATTGTAATGCTAGTGATCAAACCCAGGACTACATACATAGTAGGCAGGTACTCTGCCACTTTTCCTGCTCAGGTTTGTGTGTTATTCTTCCATAATTTTTCTTAGAAAATCTTTAAAATGCAGGTAATACAGATGTAGTTTAGGCATCGAGCTTTCTTTTTTTTTTTTTTTAATTTGATATTGGAATCAAACTCAGGACCTCATGCTTGCCAGGCAGATGCTATGCCACTGAGCTAAATCCCTGGCCCCAAGCCATCCAACTTTAAGTGTAAATATTATAAAATTCTTATTGCTTATCTACTATTTCCATATTTTTGTAATTTTTTTAAAAAGTGAATGTTTTTAAATGCAATGTAAGAGAAATATTTTCCAAATGATTTTAGCATGGAAACATCGTTTGTTTGTTTTGAGATAGGGGCTTACTGTGTAGTTTAGGCTGCTTTGAACTCACTATGAAGTGCAGGCTGGCCTTGAACCTGCAGCAATCCCACCTCAGCTTCCTGAGTGCTGGAATTACAATGTTTCACCACACCAGGCTGTTTCTATTCTTGGAAATCAGATTCTCTTTGAGAAACATAATAGTATTATCAAAATCAAGTCATGAACTCTCACACAATTCTCTGATTTGATCTAAAGACCATATTCAGATATTACCAGTTATTCTAATAGCACATAAATTTGCCTTTTCAGCAGGGGGAAAAAAGCTTGGCCCATTCCGTGATCCAGTCCAGACTCTCAGACTCATTTTCCTTGCTTTAGTGTGATGCGGTCCCTTCATCCCTGTCACTCTGTGCTGTCATCCCTGGCAGGCAGGCGGCTTGCAGTGCCATGTGGGGCAGAGTGCCTGGCAGGAGGACTGTGGTGTTCATTTTTCCCTGCACTGGGACTTAGTCTTGGTCACCTCTGGATGGTGTGGTATCTGCCATGTGACCCCATCATAAAGCCAACTTTTTTCTTTTTGTAATTAATAACTATTTCATAGAGACTATATTTTGTGATTACGTAAATACACTGTTTTTTGTGAAATTTTCATCCACTGGTTTCTACCTCCACAGACACAGCCAGTAGCAAGGAGCACTCTGCTCCTGCCTGTGGTGACTTCCCACTCCTCAGGCCCTGGGCTCCGGAAGAAAGGACAGAATTCCCTGTGCAAGACCCAGACTAAAGTCTCAGGATAGCAATTCACATTTTATTCATTGTTAAAGTTATCAATAGGATAGGAAGTTCTTTGATTTATACTTCACTTTAAATCAACAAGTTTTAATCTCAGAACCATCATTTAATGCTCTAAGGTTTGTCCTTAGAGCATAAAAGATCACCATAAAGCATCTCAATAGGTTTATTTATTTTTGCTTTTTTTTTTTTTTTTTTTGTCTTTTTTGTTTTTTATTGCTACCAGGGATCAAACTCACAACTGCCTGCTTGCAAGGCAGGCACTTATGCCACTGAGCTAAATCCCCAGGCCCTTATTTTTGCTTTTTGAGGCAGAGTCTTGCTATGTAGTTCAGGCCTTGAACTCACTATGGACTCACTATGTAGCCTAATCTCATATACTTGGCCATGTCCTGCCTCAACCACCCTTCCAAGTGCTGGGATAACAGGTATGCACCACCATGCCTGGCTCATCACATATTCTAGATATTAGTCCTCTGCTCAAGAATAGCTGGCAAAAATATTTTCCATTCTGTAGATTGTACCTTTACTCTGTTGATTGTTTCCTTTGCTGTGCAGAAACTTTTTAATTTTATATAATCTTACTTGATTCTTGACGTTGTTTATTTTTATTTGTTTTGTTTTGTTTTTTGAGACAGAGTCTCACTATGTAGTCTAGGCTGGCCTTGAACTCTGTATGTTGCCCATCTGGATTAGAACTCCTGGTGATCCTCCTGCCTCAGCCTCCCAAACTGGGATTATAGACCTGTGTCACCACACCTATGTTAAATGATTATCAACTTGAATGAAAACTTTTGTTTTGCATTTTTCAATGAAAACTTTATTAAATAGAATGAACGTGCAAAATAGTTGCCTTAGAAATATTTCCATTTTCAATGATTTTTTTTTTATCAGTACCAGGGATCGAACTCATGACCACACGCTTGCAAGGCAGGTGCTTATTATGCCACTGAGCTAAATCCCCAGCCCCCCCACCTTTTTTTTGTCTTTTTGCTTTTTTATCGGTACCGGTGATTGAACTCACAACTGCCTGCTTACAAAGCAGGCACTTATGCCGCTGAGCTAAATCCTCAGTTCCCAAGCTCCAGCCCCTTTTCCAATGATTTTTTAACTAAGCATATACGCCTATAGAAGAGTTGAGAGTTCTGTGTAAATCTTATCATATTCTATAGCGCCTGCCTGGCAAGCTCAAGGTGATAAATTCAATTCCCAGTACCAAAAAAGAAAAGAATCTTACCACATTCCTTTAAATTGTTTTAATTTTGTGACACATTTACATTCTAAACTGTTTTTAAGAAAAAATATATTTAGGTTTTTGTGTTCTAATAAAACATTCTGTCAGTGAGGAAGTGTTAAATGTAGTTATGTGGAAAGTGCTTTTTTTCCAGACTTAACTGTGAAAATGCAGTTCTCAAAGAGAATTTGAAACTGAAAACAGAGGAAATTAGGATGCTGAAGTTTGAAAATGGAGGTAAGGGAGAGTATTTGGATGATTATTTTTAAATGTTAAAGATGAATTTTATAGTATCATGTAGGAAGAATACCTGTCATAGAGACAAAACCACTCGTTTTTTGTATGTTATTTCTGTTTCGGTGGCATTGGGATTGAATCACAAAGAGTTAGGGAATTGATCTACATCCCTACCCCTTCTAATTTTTTTTTAAAGCTTTGAGACAGGGTTTTACTTAGTAGCTAAGTTGCCCAGGTTGGCCTTCATTGTAACCTTCCTGGCTGAGCCTGCCAGCATAGACAAGCACCACTACACACAGCTGCATTTTGGTTTTTCAGTTTAAAGAATTTATCAAAGTAAAATCCACACAACATAAAATCAACATTTAAAAGTGACAATTTTTAAATGCCAGGAGGCTAAGGCAGGAGGAGCCCACAGCATCCCCTCCTAGGTTAGGTGAGGACACAGCCGCCCTCTTCCCGCACTGTTAAATTGGTGCAAGACGGAAAAGGTGGGGTTTGCTGTCCCCCACGGACAGCAGAGCCTCTTCATGGGGCCTGAGAAGCTCGAGAAAGTCCTTCCTAGTGGGTCTGTGGAGCCTGGCCAGCGGTTGCAGTGGCCAGAGCACAGCCTGCCCACCGCCCAGACCTCTCACTGCAGAGTCTCCCAGGACTCAGCCCCATGGCCCCTCTCTGAAACTCTTACAAACAACCCAGAGGACATGAGGAGCAGACTTGAGATGCACAGCTGAGCAGTTTTTCTGGTGACAAGAGCACCTGGCCAGGAACGGAGGCCCACGACTCTGGGAAGCTGAGGCAAGAGGATGGCAAATTTGAGCCCAGCCTGGGCAACTGAGTGACTTATTAAGACCATGTCTCAAAATTAAAAAAAAAAGCTAGGCATGATGTCGAGCAGAGCTGATGCCCTGGGTCCTCCTGTGACACCCACTGCTCCATTGCTAGCTTTTCTCTGTGCAGCCTGACCTTGTAGGTGAACACCATAATGCATTCGTTGCTTTGGAGACGGAAGAATATAATTCAGGCGTAGCCAGAGCTGAGGAAGCCACAGTTAGACTCAGCCCTAATCAACCTTTCATGTCTGGCCTTTCCTAGTCTTGAACCAGCAGTACTTGGAAGCGCTTGCCATGCTGAACATCACGCAGCAGGTGGCGGCTCAAGAGAGCAGGTCCTGGGAGGAGTGTGGCTTCATGGAGGTGTCCGGGCTGGAGGTAGTTCACTGCACGTGTGAAAGGGGAGTATGAATCCAGGCTGCTTCTGTTTGGTGTCTCTGGTAGTACTGGACACTGAAGCAGGGTCCTTTGTGCTGAGCTACCCCCTTAGTTTTGTTTTTTGTTCTTTTTAAAATGTGTGCATGTCTGTAATTATAAGGAGTACATCCATGGTGTGTGTGTGTGTGGTGGGGGTTGTCACATATACATAGCAAGTCTTAATCAGTGGCTTTCATTTTTTTCCCTTCCCTCCCCTCTCCGTCCATCCCTCATTTTTTATTTTGAGACTGGGTCTTGCTAAGTTGCCCAGACTAGGCCCAAACTTGGGATCTTTCTGCTTCAGCTTTCCCAAGTTGAAGGATTATGGGTATGCACCACCACACTGGGCTGGGAGGGACAATTTTCCTTCCTGTCCCTGGGCACCTATTCTGGGCTCCTACCGTACTTAGCAATGTGAGACTGAGGAGAGAGGCCAACTTGCATAGGTTGGCTCATCCTGCCCTGGTGTGACATTCTTGGCTGTCAGGGAATGTGCTGGCTGCTTCTGACCCATTCATTTCTCTTTTACAAACTGTGACAGAAGTACAGAGTCATGCCTTGGCCAGGGCAGGGCTTGCAGTTGCAGGACTGTCACACACAGGTTATCTCACCTTCACAGCACTGAGTCACAAGGCAGGTGTTAGCAGGTGAAGGCTTGGGGATGCTGAATGAGTTGTATTACTTTCCCACAGGGCCAGGCAGCCCAGGCCAGTCAGGGTCAGAGCAGAGATCTGCCCAGGCTACTGGTGGCTTCCACCTGCAAGGTTGGCCAGTTCCATGCAGAGGGGCTGAGATGTGAGAAATAAGTGTAGCCTCTGTCTTACTGTAGAGCCTCAAAAAAAGCAAATGTTGTCAGGTATGGTGGCACATGCCTGTAATCCCAGTACTTAGGAGACAGGGAGATCGCTGTGAGTGCAGTGCCAGCCTGGGTTCTAAGTGAGTTCAAGATCAGCCTGCACTATATAGCAAGATCCTGTCTCAAACAACAATATAAAGCAACTGTTGGATCCTTCAGTTCATCAGCATGATGACTGGGTGTTCATGCCGTATGCATGAGATGTGTCTCCCTCAATCCTCATTACGCCGTGGGCCCATTACCTGTCTGATGGGTAAAAAAAAACTTATTTTTTAGTTTTTTGTCTTTTTCATTTTTATTGGTACCGGGGATCGAACTCACGACCGCCTGCTTGCAAGGCAGGTGCTTACGCTGCTGAGCTAAATCCCCAGCGGGTACAAAAAATTTTTAAAAAACAACTGTTAAGCTGCCCTCGAATAAAATACAAAGAGGGCTAGGGGTGTCATTTGGTGCAAAGGCCCAGGGTTCAAGCTCCAGTTCTAGGGGAAGAAAAACTGAAACAGTGTCCAGAAGGCTGCCTAGTTTTTCTCCCGAGTGCCTTTGGACCGTAGGTTTGGGTAGCAGTGCGTGGGTGTCTATCTGTGTGCATTTCTGGGTGCAGCTCATCCTTCTGGCTTTGCAGCTCACAGTGCTTGGAGCCTGCCTGTGCCATGGCCCCAGAGGGAGTCCCTGTCCCTGTGCCAGGATGGCAGCATCTGCTCGAAAACTGGTTCTTCAGCTCAGACACGAGGTATCCCATTGTCACTGCAGCAGATGCTTTGCATGTTGTTCTGTTAATGGTAGAATACATGCAGGTATCTGTAGGAAGTACCCTAGTAGGCACTGGCTCTGGGACTTAGGCTTAGTTTAGGTGTGAGCATTAACCAAGTGAAGTCATTAACCTAAGCCTGTAGTTAGTATTTCTTTCTTTCTTTTTTTTTTTTTTTTTTTTTTTTTGTCTTTTTGTAGCCTAGGCTGGTCTCGAACTTTCAACGATCCTTCTGCCTCAGCCTCCCAAGTGCTGGGATTACAGGCATGAGCCACCACGCCCAGCTTGTAGTATTTCTTAAATTCATTTTTTTTCTCAACTATATATGGCCTTAGAATTATGAAAGAAGAGCTTGGCATGGTGGACACACCTTTAATCCCAGCACTTGGGAGGCTGAGGCAGGAGGATCGCTGTGAGTTTGATGACACCGTGGGCTACACAGTGAGTTCAAGGCCAGCCCGAACGGCATAATGAGACCCTTTCTCAAAAAAAAAAAAAAAAAAAAACAGAAGAGAAAGGCACATTTATCCTTAAGATCACTGGGACCAACCTAATAGTGAAGAGTTAAGCATGGAGCTTATGTGAAAAGCAGCAGACATAGCCTGGGGAACTCTGTCTCCACCCGGGGTGAGTTGTGCAGCTTAGCTCTGTGCAGGCTCCCTAAATCTACACAGCAGCTGTGTGGCACTGGGCAGTGGGAGTCTTAGTTCTCCTGTGTGGTAAATGCCTTGGAGGGTCATTGTCAGAGTTGAGGGGATAAACATGTAACGTTCACCACAGTGCCAGGAAATGCCAGGCATTTAATCAGTGGCACCTGCCCTTGTATTGGGCCTTCATCACAGGTACAGTATTGTACCTGGCCCATGATTCCTTCCAAACATGCTTTACCTCTCTGGGAGCTATAGAAGCCTTTAGGGTACATAGCAAAGCTGGTGGCTGAGTGTTAGCAGTTCCTGAAGAGAAGCATAAGATCACACAGGTCAGAGTTGGGTGGCCAGACCCAAAGTGACACACAGGGCCAGGCACCCTCCTTTCTTCCCTAGCTGTGCCAGTCCTTAGCAGGAGCTCCGAGTGGGATCAGTGAGCAGTTGGCATGAGGGAAACTGCTGGTGATGGGTTGGGGTGGGGGATAGCTAATATTGATTGGCTGAAGCCGTGGAGCAGAGCAAGCCCTGGCAATGGCTATGGTGAGCGCAGAGTGGGGAGAACATGTAGGTTCGACTTGGCCTTCCGGCAGATGGTTTGGTCTTGCTTCTGATGCCTCCCAAACTTTCTTTCAAAACCAGCTGGAACTTTTGCAGAAAAGCAAAGAAGAAGCTTACATCATGGCAGATGCGTTCCGGATTGCATTTGAGCAACAGTTAATGAGGAAAAATGACCAGGCCCTGAGATTGACTCAAATGGAGGAAATTCTTCGAAAAGCAAAAAAATGGCTAAGCTGGAAGCCCCTTACAGAGGACAGTACCCGTGAGTCACAATGGCAATAACCAGGGGTAATTTTAGTTGATGGGACACAGTGAGCTTAGAGGGGAGAACTGAAGTTTCATTCACTGCTCTGTCTCACTTAAAAACTTAGCAACTACTGAGAAGAGTCACTGGCTGTTCCAGGTGTAGGGAGCTGGGGGGGCCAACAGAATCAAAAGGCAAGGAGAGTCTTGTACCTTGCTATTTCATTTACATAAAACTACATTCAATGAAAAATACTTTTAATAAAATGCTATGATAAATGGAACTGCCAAGAAGGAAGTTCTATTGAAAATGGTATTTTAAAAAAAGAAAATGACATGGGATACGTCCATCTAATTAAAATTATTTGAAATGTATTCTTTGTAACAAACATTTAGGGGTAGTGGGAAAAATTTTTAATTAAAAAAAAATGTTATAGGGCTGGGGATTTAGCTCAGCAGTATAAATGCCTGCCTGCCTTGCAAGCAGGCAGTCGTGAGTTTGATCCCTGGTACCAATAAAAATGAGAAAGACAAAAAAAAAAAAAATGTTATTTGAGCCAGGGATACAGCTCAGTGGCACAGCATCTGCCCAGCAAGCATGAGGTCCTGAGTTTGATTCCTGGTACCAAAAAAACCACAAAAGCTATTAGCATTATTTGTAGTATGTGATCACAGTCATCGTGAGAGTTGGTACCTGTACATGACACATCCAGGGCAGCGGGATTGGTTCCACAGGAGGCCTGCAATGGAGGGCGCTGGTGGGCTGTGCTCTCCACTCAAGGCAGATTCCATTCAGCCACGAACCTGGTATTTTCTGATGGTGGTGAAGGGAAGGAGAGATGGGAGAAAAGGAGGGTCCAGCAAGCCCAAGGGGTCTTTGGGAAGCCTGTGCAAGTTTATCTTTGGGAGGAGGCTCGTTCTGCAGGGAGGTGCTATGGAAAGTAAGCTGTGTTTTGGGTTTTTTAAATTTTTGCCTTTTTAAAATGGTTACACAGACTAATGGGTTTCATTCTGGCTGATCAGTCCATGAAAATAACATCCTTTGATCATGTTCACGCTACCACCTTCCCTGCCGAGATTCCTTGGAGGGATTCCTGCACGGATTCTGCTAATACCCATCTCCCCACCTGTCCTGCTCCTTCCCCTCCCTCTTACTGCACCCCCTTGTCTCACAGTAGTCTCCTTGCTCCTTTCCCATCATCTGTATTAGCTCCCACATATGAAGGACTTTGGTCATTCTCACTGGGGCTTGTTCTGCTTGATGTTATGCTCTCCAGACCTACCTGTTTGCCGTAAATGCTGGCACTGTGTCCTTCCTCGGGGAACCCCAGTATGTAGACACCACATTATATCTGATGAGCACTGAGGCTGGCTCCATATGTTGATTACAAATTGCACCAAAATAAACATGGGTGTGTTGGTATCGTTATAATGTGCTGACTTGGAGTGCTTTGGGCACATGAGGGAGTGTGTGTGTGTATTTTAGAGAGAGAGAGAGAGAGAGAGAGAGACAGAGACAGAGAGACAGAGACAGAGAGAGGGCTGGATCACAAGGTGGCTGCATTTTGAGGTTTTTGAGGAAGCCCTGTATGGATCACCACAGTGGTGGAATAATATATTAATCTGTGTTCTCAGTGGCAGTGTTGAAGCCCCCCCCCACATCTGCTTTTCATATTCGTGATGACAGCCATTCTGATGGGGATGAGATGGAATCTCAGTCATTTTTTTTTTTTTTATCAGTACCAGGGATCAAACTCATGACCTCCTGCTTGCATGGCAGGTGTTTATGCCACTGAGTTATATCCCTAGCCCCTCTCAGTGTCATTTTGATTTCCATTCTCTAATGGCTAAAGATGCCTAACATTGTTTCATGTACTCTTTGGCCATCTGTGCCTTATTAGTATATTTTGCAATTCCTAACTGCACTCATTTTGGAGAAATGGTCCATATGCATATCGCACCTTGAACATCTTTGCTTCCCCTTCTTACTACACCACGTATTTCGAAAAGTATCTGTTCAGCCTACTTGCCCATTTACTGTGAGGCTGTGTGACCTTTTGCTGTTAACATTTTGGAGCTCTCTGTATGTTCTAGATGTTAACATCTAGAACATCTAGGAGCAGCTGGTAATGATACCCTCCCGTTCCATGGGCTGTCTCACCATCGTCAGTTGTTTCCCTTACAACTTTAACTTGCTGTTGTCTCCCTGTTGATTCTTATTTCCTGTGCTACTGGCATCGTACCCAGGAAGTCTTCATCCACTCTTGTGGGTTAGAATGTGACCCCTGGGTTTTCCTTTAGCAGTTTCAAAGTTTGAGGTCTTGGAGGGAAAAAGGGAAAATAAGATGTGTCACATACATGTCCCAGTTCCCCATGAGGCAGGCAGCCACTGTGTACTGCAAGCATGTACAGGTAAAAAGAAAAAGGCTGAGGTACTATTCCTAGGTTTTTGGTCAACGTCGAGTTGATTTTGCACAGGATGAGAGAAAGGGATGTGGCTGCCATCTTCTGCCTGGATATCCAGTTTTCCTAGCTCCATTTAAGAGTGTCTTCTCCAAAAAAAAAAAAAAAAAAAAGGTGTCTTCTCCAGCTTGATTTTGTTCTTTGTCCAGTATCGGATGGCTCTACTTTCATGGGTTTGTTTCCACGTGCTCTATTCTGTTCTACTGCTCCATGTGTTTTCATGCCAGCATCATGCTGTTTTTGTTACTGTGGCTTTGCAGTAAGATTTGAAATTACGTACTGTGATGCTTCCAGCCTTGCTCTTTTTGTTACTGTTTTTTGAGACAGGGTCTTGCTTTATAATTTAGACTGGCTTTGAACTCATTATGTAGCCTAGTCTTCTGGCCTTGAACTCATGGTGATCCTCCTGCCTCTGCCTCCAAAGTTTTGGGATTACAGGAATGTACCACCACGCAAGACTATGTACTCATTTTATTTTACTTTACATCTATTGATTTTTGGTACCAGGAATTGAACTTGGGACCTCGTGCTTGCCAGGAAGGCATTTATGCCACTGAGCTATATTCCTGACCCTGCACTCATTTTGGATTCTAGTATTCTTGCCTTTCTAGGCAGAAGGGACAAGAAAAACACAAATGTCTTTTGTGTTCTAAGATCCCACTCACATCTTCTGACGCAGATGCAGGAGAGGCCATGCACAACCATCAGTTCTCCCTTGGACACCAACCAGCTGGCTTAACTCAGCTCTGACACTATCTCCTTGTCTCCCTGTAGTTGGATTCCACAAGCTGTCTTGTAAGCGGGCTTACAAGTCTCTGAGGCCCGCTTGAAATAGTAAGGTGTCACCTCCCTGAGCGAACTGGAGGACCTATGGCCCCCCCACTTCAGTTTAATTTGCTAGGATGGTGCAGAAGACTAAGAAACATATTCCCTGGTGCATTGTGCAGGACATTATGAAGGACACAAGCGAGCAGCCAGGTGGACTAAGTCCTGGGCCACTGGGGTTAGCTCAAGCTCCAGCCCTTCTGCCCTTCCTGTAGATACCAAGCTCACTGGGACAGATGCTCTCAGGGAGCTCTGTGTCAGACACCGTTCTCACTCAGGAAACGACAGCACCACAGTCTTAGGGGTTCTTTTAGGAACCTAGGTCAAAGAACAACTATTAGAACACAAAAGCTTCTCCTAACAAGCAGTTTTTATCTTTATCTACAAGGGTTTTAGGAGCTTTGTGTCAGGAACAAGGGGACAAAGACCAAATTTATCTTTCTTCCATCACAGTCTCATACTCAGCAACTGACAAATGTTAAGAATTTGACAACAGAAAATGAGACTCTGAGCGGTGCCTCTCCCACGCCTTGTTTCTGTGTGGCTCAGGAAGAAGCTGCAGGAATGTGAGTCCAGCAGCCCAAGCTGTGGTGGGGCTCAGTGGTAGGGCGTGTGCTGCACACACACAGGGGCCTGGGTTCAATGTTCAGCACAAGAGACTTGAATCACTTCTTAAAGCTGTTCCAGGTCCACACTCCCTAGCTCTAAGTTTCTAGGTGGCAGGATTTTGTCTCCTTTCATTAGTATATTTCAGTAATCTGAAGAGGGCAGAAGTTAATTTGTTTAGTAACCCTTCTAAGTATTTCTTGTTTTCGTGTGGCAGCTTAGGCTATTAGAGCAGTTACAGGCATTTCCTGGTATTAGATTTGGAATAAAGACAGGTTCGCTAATATCAAAGTTGATCATCAGCCTCTCTGGCTTTTCCTGTTTGCCTCGGTCTCTTGCAGTCCATGCTGAGGCCCTGGGCTATTAGGACTGGGTGGGGAGAAGACCAGGTGTCTGTAAGATCAGTTGTGAACTATTACAAATCGTCTTCAAAATTTCCTTTGTATAATTTCAAACTGTTTACCTTCCATGAGTCATGTTCCTTCCAGAGATAAAGGTCAGCATGTGGATGTCATGCTGTAGAGTATTAATACTATGCCCAAAGTGTTTTCATTGTGATCAAGCACACATAACATTCGCTATCTGAGCTGTTCTCTGGGGTGTTGGGTACCCACAGCTGTGTGACCCTCTGCACCATCCAGCTCCAGGACATTCATCTTCCCCGCAGAAACTCTGTCTATGAGACAGCCCAGGGGTTTATAATTGCATGGCATAGGCACCCTGAGAAGCAGTCTGATAATACTATTGTCATTTTAGAGGAAAAGAAAACAAAGCTAGGGAAATTTACCCCGAACTTACCAAGTGGCTGAGTCAGATGCCTCTGCCGCCAGAGTCATTTCTATTGGGTCTACATAGTGCATTGAGTAATGCAGGTTAGTGAGTGACATTCAGAATTGGGAGGTTTCCAAAGACTATGCATTAGTGACCTTGCTTGCATCCTTTTGCAGCATCAGCTGGCCTCAGGTCACAGCACAAGGTCTCACATGGCAACAGTGTCACCTGCCTGTGCCCTTGGGGCTCGGTGCTGCTTGCCCCTCCTATCTGAGCATTTCTGAAGAGAATAACCCTGGCCTGGCTGGGAGCCGGTCAGCCTTGTCCACAGCCACCTCTTTACCAGAAGTGGTCATTGAATGTTTCCTCTTAGCTAGATTTTTCCCATTTAGTTTTAGGACATCAACCTCAAAGGAGTAAGAAAACATTAGGGCAGAAACTGCTGGACATGTTGCCTTCAGAGAGCAGTACCAAGAGGACAGAAGACCAGGATAATCCTCAGGAAGTCTTTAGGATGCTCATCGATTTGGTTAGTACCTTTGCTTTGCTTTCATTAGGGATTGTGAGTCACCTATTTTTTTTTTGGTCTATTTCCTTTTTTATTGGTACCAGAGATCAAACTCACGACCATACACTTATAAGGCAGGTGCTTATGCTGCTGAGTTAAATCCTCAGCCCCGTGAGTCACCTATTTGTTTCCTAGTACTTTGGCACTTTTTTCTCTTTCCCCTCTTACTTGGTGCACCGTTCTCCATGTCTGTGATGGGCCTCTGTTCACACTCCATTTTTGCCCATTTCCTGTCAGGCTAGAGCCCCAGGTGGGAAGAACAGCTCCCCTGACACCCAGCCAGCCGCATTCCACGGACAGTGTGGACAAGACCCACTCAGGCCGGCATTTGAGCTAAGGCGCTGCACACACACCGAGCTCTGCCTTGTCACTCCAGTTCTACAGGTGTCTCGACTGAACTGAGACCCTGGCTCAGGTTTTTTTTATTTATTTTTTTGTTTTTATTGGTACCAGGGATCGAACTCACGACTGCCTGCTTGCAAGGCAGGCGCTTATGCCGCTGAGCTAAGTCCCCAGCCCCTCTGGCTCAGGTTTTGAACATATATTTGTTTTGGTTTTGTATGGTTTATATAAAAAAATACAATAAAATAAAAATTTCCCTCTAGATCTAGACTTACAAAATTTTCAACACAAGTAATGCCATTATCCAGTTTTTTTCTCTTAAAAATAAATCCTCAGTGAAGTGTAGCATCCTGTTTGGGAATTAGGTGACAATCTGTATCGATGACTTCCAGATGTGGGGCTACTTTGATAAAATGCTGACAGTTTTCTTCTGGACATACTCTGTGGCTTGGTGACTAATGAGTATCTTTTGAATTTCTGTGCATGCAGTTAAATGATAAAGAAGAAGCGCTGGCACATCAGAGAAAAGTTAGTTACATGCTCGCTCGGGCCCTAGAAGATAAAGACACTGCTGCAAAAGAAAATAAAGACAAAGGTCATAGGAAGGAGGAGTTTCCATTCAAAAAGCCCTGGCATAAATCTTCAGAATTCTCTATGTCATGTGATTCTGTGCATTTAGGTGTCCAGATGTTTAATTCTGCGCACTGTGCTTGTTCAGTCTCACAGACAGATCCCAACTGCACAAGAACTCTGAAAAAATCCTGTTCTTTGCCGTCAAGTATCCTACTCTGAAGACATACCAAGCACCGGAAATCAGAACTGAGAGCTTTTCACAGCAGGAGACTCGGGCTGGGCTTAGAGTTCCATGGCACAGTGCTGGCTCAGCGTGCGCTAGGCCTGGGCCATCAGGCACTGAGAGAGGACTGTGTGAATGTTGATATATCCTGAAAACTATGTGCTTTCCAGGTTTTTTAAATTTTAGGAGGCAGTTTAATCAAGTTTTTTCTACAAAAAATTTATTAGAATTGTGTTGTCATTTTATTTATAAATATTATTATATTTTATAAAGTTTTCAGTGTTTGCCAACATCTTAGAAGCAAATTATTTGGGAGAAAACTGAAAAGTATGTAATTATTGATTATTAGGATCTTAGATCAGCTAAATCAACAATGTAACAGTGTAGTTAATGTTTAAAAAGTAATACCTAAAGCCAGGTGTGGTAGCACACACCTGTAATCCCAGCGCTAGGGAGGCTGAGGCAGGAGGATCACTTTGAGTTCCAGGCCAGCCCGGGCTAGATAGTGAGTTCAAGGCCAGCCTGAACTATATAGTGAGACCCTGTCTCCAAAAAAACAAACCAAAAAATGTTTTTCTTAATTAAAAGTTAAGATGTTGGAACTTCAGGAGAGGCATATTCAGTCATTGCCAATTTCGTGCCTTTGTCAGGAGGTGAATCTTTGTGAACAGCGTCCACAGCCTTGGAGCCAAAGGTAGCAGGCACTGAACAGGTTTCCCTTTCCTCATACCCTGTGGGTGGATATGATGGCCCAGGAGGGTCTTTTTGGTGACCTGAAAATGTCAGAAGCCACACATCCAGTCAGGGCCTCCAGCAAAATGCACTCTAGGGTTTATGGTTTTAGCTACCACGTGACCGTATGAAAATCAAGGTCTAGATGTCATTCATATTGAAGTTTAATAGGGTAGCTGGGGATTTAGCTCATCAGCATAAGTGCCTGCTTGGTAAGCGTGAGGCTGTGAGTTTGATCCCCGGTACAGAAAAAAAAAAAAAAAAAAAAACAGTTTAATAGGGGTGTACAACTTCCCAGTCATGAGGTACTTTATTAACTGTGATGCTATGGCAATGAGATAGCCACTCATGGGAAACCAACAGTTAAGAAACAAGTGAGTTTATTCAGCAGAAAAGCTGGGAGCAAACAACAAAGCAGAGCTGCTGGCCGCGTCTTTTCAAGTCTCCTTAAATACACTATTAGGGAAGGGCTCCCAAGATCTCACAGTTGCTATGGAGACCATGGGAATGTCACAAGACCCATTCTCCAACATCTCATGAGTTGATGCCCAGGATGTGAGCAATGGTTAGCTTGACTACTTTGTGCGGACCAGCCTTCTTTTTATGGTTTTATGGTTAACTAGAAGGGGAGCTGTTAGGGGAGTGGGACTAAAGTTCATCTAAAATTTAACTAGTGACCAGCAAAAATGGGGGCTAAGCAGAAAATGGAGGTACTTTTGCCCTCACAGTAACAAGGTCTCATAAACCAAGCCTGCTGACCTCGACCATTTGTGTAGCTGCCACTGTGTGCATATCAGATTGTAACTGTCCAGTGACACAGGACTGTACTCCCTTCTTATAAAACACTGAGAATTAAAAAAAAAGAATGCTTTTAAAAAGCATGAAGAGAAAAGCTCTTACTTCGCGGTATAGTTTAAGTGACTCACTGGGAAGGCGCTGCCCCACAGAAACAAGGCCATGGGTCCACTCCTTGCACCACAGTGACCCCTGCAGCAGAACACGAAGTCATTGGGGGAACATCCTGATTTCCTGAGCACTGTATTCCTTGGGGAGGTGAAAAGGAAAAAACAGGAATGTGATAGAAGTATTAAGGAGGTGTCAATTTTCCATGTAATGTTTAATTTTTCAGTATATTTATTTTACTTTGTCTTTTTCCTTTTTTATCGGTACTGGGGATTGAACTCACGACCACACACTTGCAAGGCAGGTGCTTATGCCGCTGAGCTAAATCCCCAGCCCAATTTTCCAGTATCTTAATAGTTGTTAAGTATGGGTTACAGAAGTATTTAGTTTTTTGAGACAAGGTCTTAGTATGTAAACCAGCCTGGCCTCCAACTCACTATGTAGCAGAAGCTGCCTGGAATTCCCAGTGATCCCCAAGTGCTGCAGTTATACGCCAACACACCTGGCATTTTTTTTTTTTTTTTGAGGCAGAGTTTCACTGCCCAGGATGTCACTGAACTTTCGACCCACCTGCCTCTGGTGCCTCCCGAGTACTGGGAATGTAAGTGTGCACACTACACCTGGCTATATGCCTTCCCCCTTTCCAAACTGGGGTGCACTCTCAGCCCTGGTCACATGCACATCCGGACAGGGACACTCCTCACTGCTCATCCCTGTCAGTGCCCTGAAAGCTGTACTGGGCTTCTGAGCGATGGGCTTCTGGAGTCAGTACTCTTCCAATCTGGTGACGTAACTTTCTTTTTGTACCCTCGCTTTCTTCTGTGTAATCGTGGGTATGTTAACAGTTTATCAAACTTCTATTGTATTTACCTTGGTGTTAGAGACTTTTGTTTTGCACAAATCCAGACCTATAAATTAGGCAGCTGTAACTGTAGTCTCATTAAGGATACACATGCCGGGGCTGGGGATTTAGCTCAGCGGCATAAGCGTCTGCCTTGCAAGCAGGCAGTCGTGAGTTCAATCCCCGGTACTGATAAAAAGCAAAAAGACAAAAAAAAAAAAGGATACACATGACTGACTCTATTTTTTAGGTGTGTATTTGTTTTTTAAGATAGGGTCTTACTATGTTGTTTAGGCTGGCCTTAAACTCACTATAGTCCAGGCTGGCCTTGAACCTATAGCAATCCTCCTGCCTCATCCTCCCAAGTGCTGGGATTACAGGTGTGTACCACCATGCCCAGCTCTCCAGCTCTATTTTAATCCCTCTGCTATTATAAATGTGATACTATATGGGTCATAGTTTCAAAGTAACTGATTTCTGTTTCTAGATAGGCTGGCCTTGTATTTGTGATTCTCCTGCCTCAGCTTCCCTCCACCACACTTGGTTTGATAGTTATTTTTATTAGGATTTTTATAACCCCCTCCTTTTTTTTGAGAAAAGGTCTGGCCTTGCACTCGCAGTGATCCTCTTGCCTCTGCCTCCCAAGCACTGGAATTACAGGTGTGCACCACCATGCCCAGCTCCTTTACATTTTCAATTCTACATTTTAGAGACAGGACCTTACCACTCTAATCAGCAAAACCAGAATTAAATTTTTTATTTTAAAATATTTAACAAAAATATTCCATAGTTTTACATATGTTACATCTGTAGAATATTTACAAATTCATTACCAGAGCATTTATTTAATGTTGACTATACTTCCCATTATCTGCCTTCAGTAGTGAAATACTGTCCAGTGTCCTCAGTAACTAAAAAACGAGCTTCTTGGGCAATCCTCCTAGAAAGTAAGAGCAGAGACAGGGTTGTTCACATGCAGTGCAGAGTGGCTGCAGCAGCCACGCAGCCCAGCTCTGCTACTCTCCTGCTGGCACCTGCTGACCTTCTGCATGCTGTGCCCACATTGTCTGAGAGGGGAGCATGCTGCACGGACACACTCACAGCTCTGAGACGCGCTCTCAAGGCAAGCAAGCATCAGCACATTCTATCTGCTTCATGCAACTTAAATTTATAAAAAGAGCTCACGAGTTGCATTTCTTAGCTGCCCTTCAGTCATGAGCCATATAGAACTATCTGCAGTCTTCTAAAATCATTTCTCTAAAAATGGCATTTTTACCTTGTTCCAAGGCCTCTGTTCTTTTTCGCTTTGTCACCATGGCTGGGTTTGACTGCTCCTTCAGGGCTTCCGCTGGACAGTTCGGTCTGGGCAGCTGACACCCAGGTGCTGGCCCTGGCCGATTACTGAAGTATGGAGTTTTTAATGCCTTGGACAAGAAAAGATACCACAGAAAGTTTTTTTGTCAGTATATTGAACTATGTAGAAAAACCTAGCCTCAGAAACTGTTGGGAACACTCAAAACACTATGTGATCACCTCCCTCTGAAAATGAGGAAAAAATAACATCAAATACTTGGTCATGCAAATTACTATGAATAAATATCCTGTCAAGAAAGAGACCCCCTCCTACTACTGCTGCAGCTCACCAGCTGTCCTCACAAAGGACTGTCCTCAGAAGACATGGTACACTTTGGTTCTCTAAATACTATGAGCTCTACAGTGCAAAGCACAGACAGAGAAACTTGCTTCAAGAGAACATGTAAGTTTGTTGCAATGTCTAAATATATTCAAAGGCTAAACTATGGACATATAAGTCTTCAAAATGAGTCTCTCTGTTAAGAAATGATAGGTTGTAACCAAAGGATTACAATCCAACAATCAATCTACCAGAAATAGACAGAAATTTTATTTGAAGAGTAGCTCAATTTAGTTCTACTGATTACACAGTGTTCTGTATTTTCTTTACTTGGGTCCAAAATTCCAATTAAAGCCAGTTTCATCCTACATGACAAGTTTGTCAACATCGTACCTGTCACCTATTACTGCACATTTTCTTTAGGACAATCCCTAGAAAAGGAAGTCTGTTTACTTCTGCTTCTTTAGCACTAGGAAGTGAATGCAGGGCCTTCACACTGAGCTATGTCCCTAGCTGTTGTTTATATTCTGAGACAGGGACTTGTTCAGCTGCTGGGCTGGAAGCTGGGGTCTTCCCAGGTAGGTGCCAACATGCCCGACCCACGTCAGTTTTACATTTGCAATGATGCTTTAGAACTTCCTTCGTTTAAGACTTGCATTTATTATTTTTAGGTCTTAGCAATAGGTAAGGTATATATAAATTAAGCTATAGGTAAATTAAGCTACTTCTGGCTATACAGAGCCCTAAGAAAGGAAAACAATCTCATTTTGACTTTAACAGCTATATACAACATAAAAAACATTTAAAAATTTTTTTGCCAGGCTATGGGTGTAGCTCAATGAAAACTGTGGGCACTCAGAACATGCAGCTCAAACCCTGGCATGGAAAAACAATTTTATAAAAATAAAACTCAATGTAACAAAGATACAGCCACAATATTATTACAACTAGTACTAGCTTTAAGTTATAATAATGAAAACAACTTCCTAGATTAATTTAGGTAGCCTCTTCTCATGAAGTAAATAATATATATGTATGAAAAGGTAATAGAAACTTTACATTACTTGTTTGAAATTAGAAAATTCTAATCATAAAATATTCAAACATGTGCTCATTAATATACTAAGTATTGCTGGGAAGGGAACACTTATTTATAAAACTAAAAGCACTAAACAATAATTTGGTAGTCAGCCAAAAATAAGAACTGCCAGGCATGGTGGTGTGTGCCTGAAACCCCAGCACTTTGAAGGCTGAGACAGGAGGAGCTTGAACTACATTTTGCAAGACCCTGTCTGCAAAAAATGAATGAATGAATGAATGAATGAATAATAATAATAATAATAATAATAATAATAGTACGGTAGTCACAAATCTCTGGTGGTTGGGGTCCATTTTGCATTCTTGATATATTATACACTGATACATTTTGTTAGATAGAAAGACCTGTGACTTACTTTCTTTTTTTTAAAACTAGTACGAGTGAACAAAATCAGGGTACTCTACCACGGACCTATATCATCAGCCCTTTCTAAAAATTTGAGGCAGGGTCTATGCTGTCCAGAGCGGCCTTGAGCTAGTGATTCTACCTCAGTGTTTCAGAATCTGAGAAATCTGTGCATTCCCCAGAGTACACCAGAAGGGTGTCTTACTGGTCTCTTCACTGCTCCTGCACGAGGTTAAAGCACCGCACTGTGTTACATGTCTGGACTGCTCTGCCCCTATAAGTGTTCATGTCTCCATTATTTTTGGTGTGCTTGATTCCAAGTAAGTCCCCCACACATTTCCATTAGTGCATGTTAGTTACACAGCTTAACCGGCTTCATTTAGGAAGATCTGTACCGCACATGACACACTACAATCACCCCATCTTGCCCCACTGTCACTCCTACTTTCACATTTTTAGGGGGGGTTCAACATGTTAACACATTTTGATAATTTTCATGCCCCATGTTACCCTGACCTTTACATTCCTACTCCTCCTCTCCCTCCCTCATAATAGTCCCCCTTCTCATAATATCTCATAATAGTCCCCCTTCTACTTTTCTGTCATCTTTTTCAGATTCCACATAATAGGAAGACTATGCAAAAAACTTTAGGGTAGGGTGGTTGGTCTTGGTGATTCAACCAGGACCCTCTGCATGCTAGGCAAGCACTCTGCTAATGAACTATATCCCCAGCCCAATCACAGATTTGATAAACGCATCTTTATTGTTTTAAGGGCTGGGGATGTAGCTTAATGGTCAGGGCTCTGGGTCTAATCCTCAGCACTACAAATATAAAAACAAAACCAACAAATTAAAAACCATCCTTATATTTCTGGGTTGCACAACTGCATTCATTCATTTATATTTTTTCTCTTGCTTCTTTAAATAGTAGGTATTGTTGGTATTCCAAGTTCTTGAGTTTAATACTTATTTCTTTTGTGTGTTTGGAGGTGGGTACTAGGAATTGAACCAGAGCCTTTATGAGCTGCATGCCCAACCTTTCTCCTTTTTTTTTTTTTTTAAAATTTGTT